CGATAGCGGAAGATATTCAACATCCACCTCTGATCTCTATATATTCACACATGGGCACAAGCATTCACACACACACACACACACACACACACACACACACACACACACACACACACATACACCTTCAGGGGAGAGTGTGCTTGAGCTGGCCTGCACTTGGTTGCAGACCCTGTTTCCACCCCATAGTGTCCCACGGGGAAGCAAGTGCCCTGAATCCATCAGCAGCTGGACAACTGGTCATGAGGAAGTTGGCCTCTGTCACCAATTTTCCCAGGTGAGACAGGACGCCTTGGACTTGAGGAAGAGCCTGACCAGTTCATGCTGAGCGTCTCTGGGACTGCTGTACAGGCTGGACGCTAATGGCCGCTCAGCAGTCAGGGACACAGAGGTCCCCAAAGACAGTGCCACTGACCTGTCAAAGGCTGCAGCCGCAAGAGCTCACCCCTTCCCATGCCATCGGTGAGGCTGGAGGATCAAGTCATATGTTGGAGCAGCCCACACATCTTTGGTGGATAAGGCTGGTGGGGACTTCAAAGCCACCCACCCTGGGCAGAGCCTCTTTGAGTTGGAAGCTGGGCGTACTGGGGGACCTCTGTGAAGGTCAGAGCTGGAACTGCAGCGTGGCGTCAAGTCTCTAGACAACTTAATCAGGACTCAATCTATTTTCTTCATTATGGGCTAGACTCCTAGTTCATCTTTCAAACTAATGAGAAATCTTGTTTGGGCGTGTTGGACTGCTTCTGCCTCCTCCTGGTGTTATTATTATTACTACTTTCTCCCGTGTGCCCAGCAGGTCCGGCAGCTGAACGTTTTACCCTGGACCGGTTCAGAGCTCTAGGGAGCCAGAAGGTCACCCTGAGAAGCAGGGCTAAGCCTCTTATGATGGGGCTTTTGGGGACTGGACACTTGTGCTTCGGCTGTCAAGCTCCACCTTCCACGGGGAAGCAAAAGCGTACAGATGAGTTGTTGGGGCCCCTGCTGCTGTCCACTGCCATCCAGAAAGGAGCCAAGTGCAGAGTGAGGCTGGGACACGGGAGGCACCTAAGCATGGGAACAGGGCCTTCTGGACCTGCCCCAAGGACATTGCCATTGTACAGGGGTGGGCTTTCCATGAGGAATATGGCACCCCTGGTTTGCAGCACAGTGACCTCAGAAGGACTCGGGGAAACAATACCCACGCTGGTCCTCAGAAGGCAAGAGGCACATGTGACCATTACCTAAGGACATCCATTGGCTGTCTGGACCCCTATCCATGTAGGCAGAGATCCCTAGAAAGGTCATCCTCCCCCTGATGAGGTTGGGAGCAGTGAAGCCATTCACGTAAGGTCTCACGACTAACCATGAGGCAGGTGATCAAGTCAGACCTGCCTCTCCCCTGGTGAGGTCTGCACCCCCAAGGCTTGGGGAGCAGCAGAAGGAGATGAGAGAATGAGCCCCGGAGTTGGATCTGCCAGGGCTCAAGCCCACACAGCAGCCACATCGTTTGCCTTGGACAAGCCCCCTTTCATTGCTGTGAGGACTCATTTCTGTGTTCCAAGGCATCCCACGCTGTTGCAAACACTCAGACCACATGGGCTACAGAGCTCGGCATGCGCGGTGGGGCCATACCCTTCAGCCCACACTTCCCAGGGTCCCAAATCTCCAGGGAAGGTACCTCAAGCAGCACAGCCCACACCCACAGGCTGAGCACTGAATCAGAACTGAGTCACAGTCATTTCCTCCAGGCGGGAACCAGCCTTGGCACACATGGCCCAATTACTCAGAGATGGATGGAGCCCTGTGGGGGTGGGGGTGGCATCTGAGCCCAAGGAAGGTGCAGGGGCTGCGCTGTCTGACTGTTAGTTTGAGAAGGTTCAACCCCCCCCCCCATTTATGGTGGCTGCAATGGTTTCCAAGATGCACCCTACTCCTCCAAAAATGATCTGGCTCCTTGGTTCCAGAATGCATCTCAGGCATCTCACAAAATGCTTTCCATGAACACAGTGAAGTGGCCAGGGAAGCTCTCTTAGCCTCCTGGTTCTTTTCTCTTTGGGCATTCACCAAATGGGAAGCAGGTCCCCTGTTGTAGTTTGTTTAGGGGTTCTTTGGAGGACTTCTAAGCAGATACTGAGCTCCGGGATGGGCCTTAATGGTGTCTGCATTCCCCGACCTTAGCATTCACCTGGGTGCCCACGCCTGCTGGCCCAACCCACCGGATCCAGATTACAGACAATCACCAAGGATAGCTAAGACTCAAGTCACACTGGCAACTTTCCCCCTCCTATGACTGTCACTCTTGGGAGCCATCGTGGCCCCCTCTCACAGACAGCTGCAGGTGTTCCCATCTGATGGGGCTGCAGGCTGGGCCGGGCCCATTTCAGGATTCGGAGAAGAGGATGACTACAGCAGCTCCAGCCGAGGCTGCAGATGGTGCTGTTGGGAGAGTCCGATTCTGCCTCCTCCGTGGGCCATCACGCCTGATCCGTCAGCATCCGTGATCCAAGAAGGCGGGCCCTGCTCCTGCTGCCGGAGCCACCGCCATCCCTCCCAGGTTTCACAGCCAAGATCTCTTCCCCGGTATTCAGCTCTGTTTCAAACCATTATTCCTCATTACTCTGCTGAGCACTCGTTCTTCAAGCATCTCCCTCCTCCGCCTTCGTGCCCTTCAAAGGACTACAACAAGACTCATTGCTTGGCTAAGGGACAGGCCATCCATCTTCTTAATCTGCCCTCATAAATCAACCACCTGAGCACCCCAGGCTGCCCACCTCTGCTGCCCCAGAGCTCTCCAATCCTCTGGATATCTCTCGGGGAAGCCCCCAGGTCCCGGTCCTTGGTGGAGGGGCAGTCACGTTCCCAGGGCATCCAGCAAGCCTCTCTAGCGGGACCTGCCTCACATGATGGGGTGGGGAGCCTGGCAGATGCCCCTACAGGAGGCTTGCCAGCAGCCACGGCAGCTGCTTCTGCTGTCAGCTGGGCCTTCTCCTGGAACGGGATGTCTTAAGCTTGTTGGGATCAATTGCCCGTGGTGTTCTGATTAAGGCCCCTGCCAGGTGGCTGACGGCTTCGGCAGAGAGGGGAAAGACGAAGGACTTTGTTGGGACCCTGAACAGGGATCCAAGGGACATGGCTTTGGCGTGGAAAGTGGAGGAGGAAGAGATGGGGTCTGAAAGGCATGGGAGGGGCTCAAAGATGTTTCCCTGGGCCCGTGACCTGGTCTTCAGAAAAAGCCCAAAACAAAGGGCAGCGGGACCCTCCAGAGTCTGAGCCAGGGTTGGCATTCAGTGGGCATCAGGAAGCTACTAAAAGGCCACAGAAACTGAAGAAGAGATTCGGGGTAACTAGTAAAGAGGAAAGAGATGTGTGTGTGTGTGTGTGCGCGCGCGCGCGCGCGCGCAGTGTGCAAGTGTATGTGTGCATATGCATGCGTGTATGTGTGTTCGTGTGTGTAACTTCTTTGCAGATGGGGAGGCCCAGAGGTGTCTTAAACTTCTACCTCCAACCAAAGTCTCTGTAAAATTCAAAAAACAAGAGCTGAGGAGATGACTCAGTCAGCCAAGTGTTTGCTACAGAAGCAGGAGGACCTGACTTCAGCTCCTCAGCATCCCTGCAAACACCTGGACGTCCTCGGCACCCCTGTAAACATCCAGACATCCTCAGCACCCCTGTAAACATCCAGACACCCTCAGCACCCCTGCAAATGTCCAGAAGTCCTCGGCACCCCTGCAAACATCCAGACATCCCCAGCACCCCTGCAAACACCTGGACATCCTCAGCACCCTTACAAACACCTGGACGTCCTAGGCACCCCTGTAAACATCCAGACGACACCCTCAGCACCCCTGTAAACACCCAGACACACTCAGCACCCCTGTAAACATCCAGACACACTCAGCACCCCTGTAAACATCCAGACACACTCAGCACCCCTGCAAACACCCAGACGTCCTCCGCACCCCTGCAAACATCTGGGCCGTAAGTGCCTATAACACCAACAATGCTAGGAGGTGATGACAGGAAGACTTGCAGGCCAGCTACTCTTGCCGTATTGATGGGCTCCAGGTTCACTGAGAGATTCTGTCTCAAAAAATAGGGTGGAAGGCTGGGTGCTGGAACACACACCTTTAAACCCATCACGTGGAGACAGAGGTAGCTGGATGTCTGAGTTCAAGGTCAGCCAGAGTTAGGTATTGAGATCCTGTCTCACAGGAAAACAAAAAGAAGAGGAGGAGGAGGAGCAGGAAAGGTAGAGAGATTGAAGGATATACCAGAAGTCAACTTCTAGCCTCCATATATGCACATGCACATACAAACACATGTACACACACACAGACACACACACACACAGACACACAGACACAGACACACGCATATTAATAAATATAATTTTTAAAAACAAAAACAGGGATGCTGCTCTCATCTGACGACGTCATGGGCATGAGAAGTCAGATCTTGCTTCCTGTTCATTTCAGACTCTTAGAAATGCCCTTTTACCTCCTTGCAAACTTATCCCTGCACTGAACAAAGAAATTCCTGGCACTTCACCTACTTCCCATACTTTCTTTATTTGGGGCTCCCAATTGGACTGCATTCCCAGCTTCCCTTGCAGCCAAGTATGACCACTACAGTACAAGCAATGGGTGCTATTTCCAGACTTGCCCTACAAATGCCTCCCACACAGAGTTTTCCATGCTGGAAATAAGTGTTCCCTAGGCCACTGATCCTACTTGGAGGAGAGACATCCGCCATACTGGACATCACTTGAGCAGGAATAACCACTAGTGGACCTGACACAGCAGCTACCACACCTTGGCTAACATCAGTCCAATACGTTGCCAGAATTCACATAACCCACGCAGTGAGCCTGTGCATTAGTACTCTACTCAAAACCTTCACAAGGCTTAGAGACCCAGAGGCATGACCGGGTCACAGAGACTGAGGGGCCCACCCCACTGCTGCTGCCAATGGGGAGGACCCAATTGAGAAAGGCCTCCATACCTCCCGGCATCTTAGAGCCTTACCTTAAGCCCTATGTGGGCCCACAGGGTTTTCTGCTTTCAAGAAGTTCCTCGATAGTTCAGGACATGGGGCGACCTGATATGAAGGGGTGATGGCTGCTATGGGTCTGAGGATACAAGTTGTCCTCAAGGAGATGATGGCCCATTCAAGCTGAGGTCACAAGGCCTGGGTGGAACTGTGCCTGACAGAAGATCCCTGCGGCAAGAGCATTGGGAATAGAAAACCAGGCAGGGCCCTGCCTAGGCTGGAGCAGCTGGGACCCTTGGGAGCAGCCTGGCTACTTCCTGGGAAGGGTATGGGCATGCTCCGGCTGTGGGCTTGGGGCCTGAAGCCGGCAGGCCTGATCTATGCTAGAAAAACCTCAATCCAGAGCCTTTAGTGACAGGCTGCCTGGCAGTGGCCAGAGCCTTCTGTGCAAACATGTCAAGAGACCATCAATCCCTTGATCACTGCGGAGGTTTGGACTGCCTTCCAGCTGCTGGTGACATTCCCGAACAGTGTCGGCAGTGACAGGCAAGCAGGGGGTGACCTGATACTCACGCCCTCCGTTGCGCTTCTCAGCAGCCTCCTGGGAGTGATGAGATTCAAATATACTGAATGGATTGCCACTAGCGAGGCTGGAGCCAAAATCTGAGCCAAGCTGTGATGGTTGGTTCCAAGGCAGCATGAGTGGGTTACTGGGCAGGATTGTTCGTTCAAACAGGAATCTAGGTTTTTCTAAGTGGTTTTGTAGAGGTCTTCATCTTTAGTGAGTTTCCCAGAAGCGAAGGAAAGGGCTCTGTTGTCGTGAATGACCTCATCCCATCACTCAAATGGGAATTCTGCTGAAGACTGTGACCGGGCAGCTCCAGCCTGCCCTGCCCTGCCCTGCCCCTTGGTGTTTGGAGTTGCCATTCCCACAATTGTACCAGCCAATCCCACATTACATGTCAACTGATAATGATGATCAATTCTGACAAATGCATCGTTTAGGAGACTGTGTCCTTGTGCAAATATTACAGCATCTTCTTGCCCAAAACGACTGGCTACACACTCAGACTGTACGGTACAGCCACCATTGTGCACATGCCCCGTCGTGGACTAGACAATTGTTAGGTGGCACGGGGCATACATGCACCGTATTGGCTGCTTTTATGTCACAGTGACTAAAATGCCTGATAGGGACAGTGCAAGGGAAGGGATGTTTGCCTGGCACAGTTTGAGTCCACTATTGCCCTGTGTGCCTAAGCCAGGACACAGTGTCAGTGGGAATGTGTGCTGGATACTCCTCACATCATGGTGGACCCAAGAAGGGAGGTAGCAGGCAGGAATCAAAGGCCCGATCCTAGTGACCCGTTTCCACCAGGTAGACCCTGCCTCCTAACGGTTCCTCGGCCTCTCAAAACAGGGTAACCAGCTGCGGGGCAAATTGGCTCAAAACTTGAGCCAGTAGGAGACATTTCCAATTCAAACCCTAGCATGTCCTGTTCCCATGGAGAATCCTGGGTGACACACCACTGTCCTTCCCACCTCACGGCAGTCCCCTGTGCTGACCCCCAGCACATCCATCTCTCTTCAGGAGTTCATGGCTGGTTTCTGCTTTGGGCTAAATGTTTACCCAATTTCACACCTTGAGACCCCAAATCTCAAAGCAAAGGTTCTCTAGATGGAGTCTCTGAGAGGTGATTCGGATTAGATGAGGGTAGAGCTACCATAACAGGAATAGGGCCCTTACAAAGAAGGAAAAGATTAGAGCTGGCTGTCTCCTCACTGGCACAACGGAGGAGGAGATGTGAGGCCCCACAGCGGACAGTGGTTGTCTCTCGGGGGATGGTCCAGTTAGGCTAAGGTCACAGGCCTGGAGGGACTGAGTCTGTAAGCCAGGATGATGAGTCAGGATGGGAGCCAGATCTGCCCGTTGTAAGGAAAAACAAACAAACAAACAAACAAAAAACCCTGCTGCCTAACACTCTCATCTCTCCCGATCACCCCTTCAGCCCCCTCATCCTTGGCCTATTGTAACAGCAGCTGGAGCTGACAGAAACAGTCAGAGTTCAGATGATGTCAGCCAAGGGAGAGCTGTGGGAGTCAGGAGGAGGGACATCTCACTCCACTTGGCCAATCAGCGAAGGCTCAGAAGCCAGGGCAGCAGGGAGGAGAGAGATGCTGGCCTGCCACTCAGGCTGGGATCATAGCCCAGACCCAGGTCCTGGCCCAGCCCAGAGACGGTGAGAGTCCAGGGCAGGACAGGAGCAAGAAGCACCATCACCTCCAGAGAGTTCCAGCCGACTTGGAACAAGCCTAGAATTGTGGGTTGATGTCAATGTTTGGCTCTAGAATGCTGGGGCTCCCCACACCTTATCAGAACAAGTCCATCCCAGTCTGACCCCTACCCATCCAAAATACAGGAACTGCAGTATAGGAAACCCTGGGAGGCAGAAGTGATCCTGGCTTTATTCTAGACCTTTTTTGGGATGTTCTCCGTGAGAAGAGAAGCTCTGAGAACCTGACTTGCTGCATTGGGCTGCCCTAGGAGGAAGAGCTACGGATCCCACCTGCTCGCACTGAGCCCATGGCGGTCAGAGGCCAGCTGCTCTGGACACAAAGTGTCACTTTGAAGCCATTGGAACATGCCCTACTCCGCCCCACACCCCACAGGACATAGACCAGGCAGGAAGGTCAAGCCTGAGCTGGGGTCACAAGTCTGAGATCATTGTTTCTCAACACCCCTGAAGCAGAGGCTCTTGGGAGCTGGGTGCAGCCTCCAGCATCCCTTTCCGATTCCTTGTGCCTCCTACCTTGGCAGGATCCGTGTTTCTCCTGCTCTGGGGACTACAGCCAAGAACAGGCCCTCTGGATCCCATGATAAGCGGGAAAGAACTCAGGATCTCCAGCGGTCCACAGTTAGGCATACCCAGAAAGCCCCAGTCATCTGGGAAGGTGGTACTCACCTACATTCTCTCTGCCACCTGTGCGGCCACCCAGAAAGAACACAGCCCCGGAGTCGGCTGGGCAGGACTGGGCTCCTGGCATTGCCTCTGGCCCGACAGGCCCCGATGGTCCATGTCTCTAAGTCTCAGACTCCCTTTGCCCAGCAATGGGAATGAGCACACTCATCATTCACACGAGGACTGCAAAGCCCCAGCACACTGAAAAAGACCAAGGGGCATTCATTCCCCCGTGGTCAGCTTCTGCTGCCCCCTCCTCCTGTCCCTCCACCTGACCCTGCCCGGTTCCTTCCACGTCCTCACTGTGCTGGGCCCTGAGCAGGGAGGGGTTTGAAGGTGGTTTGATTCTGTCCTCCAGCTCAAAGGGATATGGGACATTTCGGAGTAGGAAAAGATAAAGGGTCTGAGGAAGTGACTCTGGATTTAGGAAGGGGTTTCAGTCAGGGGTACAGTGTGTGCGAAGGACCAGGGGCAGGGGTCCAGTCTTTCCTTCCTTCCTCTCTAACTGCTGGAATGGGATGTCAAAATAGAAATTCACAGTCATGAGAAAACAGATCCCTGTACCACTGGGGGAGCCACAGCCTTGGACTTTCCTCTCGGGGCAGCCTGGGGTCATTTGAATGGTCTCTGTGCTTGTACACAGACATCCTGAAGACGAGATGCTACAAGACAGTGTCATTTCTGCACCAAACTATTCCTGAGTGTGGGGGAGGGAGGACCCCAGAGAAGCCTCCCAGCCAAGAAAGACATCCAAACCACGGATCCCTAAGAGGCCACCCTCAAAGAGAGCATGTGGCTACAGGAATACCACCACCCACCCACCCCCGCCCCTCACCCACAATTCATCAATATCCCAGCTCAGAGCCTGCACAGGGTCTCCTGAAGCAGGGCACTGGTTGCTGACGTCACCCACAGGTACCTTCTTTGTTCCCAGCCACTGATGTGGCTGTGGGTAGCTGCTCAGTGGCCTCTGACTAAAGGCCTCAATCCCTCACTGAATGCTGGCTGGATTATTTGATTCCTTGTCCAAATGAAATTCTCAGCAAGTGCCTCAGAATTGACAGCTCATTTCCCCCGCGAGCAGGCGTGAGCAAGAGGGCAGGCCAAGAAGGAAGTAGACTGAGCTGGAGATGTAGCTCAGTTAGCAGAGTGCTTGCCTGGGATGCACAAAGCCATGGGTTCAATCCTTAGCACTGCATAAAGTGGGCGTGATGGCACGGGTCTGCGATCCCAGCATTTGGGAGATGAAGGCAGGAGCATCAGAAGTTCAACGTCACATTCGGATACGTAATGAGTTCGGGGCCAGCCTGGGCTACATGTGACCGTGAAAAGGGGAGACAAAAAGGAGGGCACAGAGCAGACGGAAGTGACTTGTCATCACTCTCTACACTCCCAATTAAAAGGAGTCACTGGCTCCAATTCACCCACAGGGGAGGGAAAGCACCATGGGTTCCTGGAGGGGACATCTGTGGTGGCTAGTTTTATGTCAACTTCACACACGCTAGAGTTAGCTGAACAGAGGGAACCTCAGTTGAGAAAAATGTCTCCATAGGATCCGGCTGTAGGGCATTTTTTAAATTAGTGATTGATGGAGGAGCGCCCAGCCCTTTGCGGGTGGTGCCATCCCTGGTCTGGTGGTCCTGGGTTCTGTAAGGAAGCAGGCTGAGCAAGCCATGAGGAGCAATCCAGTAAGCAGCACCCCTCCATGGCCTCTGCATCAGCTTCTGCCTCCAGGTTCCTGCCCTGTTTGAGTTCCTGTCCTGACTTCTTTCAACAATGAAGAACAAGCTGGGCAGTGGTGGCGCACGCCTTTAATCCCAGCACTCGGAAGGCAGAGGCAGACGGATCTCTGTGAGTTCGAGGCCAGCCTGGGCTACAAAGCGAGTTCCAAGAAAGGCACAAAGCTACACAGAGAAACCCTGTCTCGAAAAACAAAAAACAAAAACAAAAACAAAAAAATGAAGAACAATATGGAAGTGTAAGCGAAATAAGCCCTTTCCTCCCCAGCTCGCTTTTGGTCATGGTGTTTCATCACAGCGATAAAAACCCCGACTAGACAGCAGCCACGGGGGCCATCTGAGTTTGTGCCTTGAACCCTTGAGTGAAGCCTCTCTCACTGAGCACGCTTTTGAAATGTCTATGCCTGCCTATCACCAGCTAGCAGCAGAATCCCTAGTGACAGATCCAGGCCAGTGTCTCTCCGTGTGACATCTGGTGGGAAGATGCCCCCATCCACAGGGTTAGAGAAGGCTGGACCCCGGCCCAAAGCTTACTGAGGCTTTGAGTGTCTGACCTTTCCCATCAGCCCAGTGAGTGTGCTCTACCAAGCAACATGTGGAATGAGGTGCCCGGGGAAGAGAGTGACTGAGGAGCCCAGCCCACCCAGTGTTCCCTGTGCATGGGGAGCGCAAGCCCTGCTTGCCACATCAGTGTGTGTGTGTGTGTGTGTGTGTGTGTGTGTGTGTGTGTGTGTGTATGTGTGTGTGTACTGTCCCTGGGTTACCCAGAGAGGGCCACTCTTGACCCACCATCACTCAGGACTGGACCTTCTCCAGAGATGCTATAGACTAGAGTGTAGAAAGAAAGGAGCCTAGCGGGCTCCTGGATGGAGCATGGCTGGAATGGGTTGGGGGGGGGGGTCGGGGGAAACTGCCCTAAGGTGTGATGATAGCCAGGTTGACACACTACAGTCAGACGTAAGAGCGGGTCAGGAGTGGGCAGAGAGTCAGACAGAGGCCACCGCGGCTGGGTAGATTCTGCGATGTGACAGGCTAAACACAGAAAGGTCAGGGGAGGCTGGCTGGCCACCGTGGAACAAATCAGAATGTCAGCACCAGCAGGGCTCCTCGCTACTCCCTGCCCCCGCCAGGAGGAGGACAAAAGCCTCATCCTCAGGTGCTCCAGCCTGGCCTTGAAGATAACGAGGCTCTGAAAGCAGGCAGGAACACCGTGTGGCCCCGCCTGGCCCTGCTGCCCTGAGGAGACCAGACCCCACCCTCCTTGGAGAGCTGTGACCCACCTAAGGCTGTGTGCTGTGGAGGTACCTGAAGGGACCTTGAATTTTCTCAAGGAGACTCAAAAAGGCACGAACCCGCTTCTCTGTTCCCCTAAGATGGATTAGCTGTCCCCTTGAGAGTGTGTGCCTCCGAGACAGAGCCACTGACTCCCCAAGCCCTTCAGGCTCCAGGGCACGAGCCTGTGGGGACTCTGCTTCCAGGTTCCTTTCAGGATAGACATGGCCCCAGAGACCTTTGCTAAGTGGATGTCCACAGTGTCCTTCCTCTCCTCCAGGGGGTCAGCAGGCAGACTCTCCCTCCTCTGCACATTCATTCCAGTGTTCCTTTTCACTTTTGGAAACAAAAGTCGGGAAGTCCTGACAAAGTCACTCACCTCCCTGAGACAGGCAGGCAGACACCAGCGAAAGAGAGAGGAGGGAGGGAGAGGGAAGGAGAAACACCCCCGACGTATGACCCACTCAAGTGGGGAAAACTGAGGTGCTGTGGTGAGCCGGGGAGCCAGCACCGTGGAACATGGCGCCGTGGCCCTCACCAAAGGGGCAGCCACGTTTTACCATTGACCCCATGATCCCACTCGGGTGGTACACGTGGGAGAAGCGAAAGTAGGATCTGACCAGAGACGTGTACAGTGTACATCCACGTTTGCAGCAGCTCAGCTCACCACAGGCAAAGGGAGGCTGCAAACTGGATACCTGTCAACAGTGGGTAGTGAGTGGATGCTCATCTACAGGGAAATGCTCCTCGGCCTCCGTCAGTCTCAGGGTAGGATGTCCAAAAGAGACAAACACTGTGATTCCACCTGATGAGGGAAGCCATGTAAGGCTCAGAAGTCAGTGACTTACAAGTTCCAGAAACTTACCAGATGCACCGGGTGCCCCCTGCCTCCCCCCAAGACAATATAAGCTTTAAGGATGGAGAGGGGAGGTTCTTGGACCTGTCCCGTCACTTGCAAGTCCTGCAGAGAGCTCTGGATTTCCAGCTGTGGTGAGCTGGTGGCTTATGATGATGCAGCTGCCTTTCACCTGTCCACACTCCTGTAAATAACCCCCAGGAACTGACTCACCAATTTGGACTTTGGACTGGCAGGTGGGTCCCTTGTCTGGGGTAAGTAGACATTTGTTCTGGTCTCCCAAGGATAGTGTCACAGATCACTAGGGGAGGAAATAGGTAGCTAGTGTCTGAAGAGATGCAGAGTCTCCATTTGGAAAAAAATTAAAGGTTGTGTGTGGATGGTAGCAAAGGCTGAATAACACCATGGATATAATTAATGCAATGATTAAGATGATTGAAATGGCTAAGATGGTCCGTCCTGTGGTGGTGAGTGTATCTTAATACAATAAAACTACCTATGGTTAAATTGTTTTTTATCATTTAAGGTGGGG